AGAACTGGACACAGTACTCCAGCTGCAGCCTGAATATATACTGTATATAATTTTTAAAAAATTAAATAGCTATTTTTATTATTTGATAAGATTTCCAAAACACTTTAATTATGTAATGGCTTGTAATTTTTTTAAAGGTGTCTTCACTGATTTTATTTGATCTGGTTTGTATCCACCTTAAGGAATTGTAACTGTGTCAGTAATTTATTCCATTTGAAATGACTGCAGCATAGTGAGATCAACTAACTGTTAGCTGAAAAAAAATCTTTGTTTTCTATTAATTCCCTGCTGTACTCTTAAATATATTGTAGTATAATGAGACAGACTTTTTGAGGACTATATGCTAAAAATATTACTGACGTGAAATTCTGACATTCCTTCATAAATAACCCTCTGTTTTCCTTATTTTGTTTAAATGACAAGTGTATGAAAGTCTGTCATAATTATGCATGTCATTCTGAGATTTAAATACATTACATTTTATATACTTGACTTGAAAAATGAACATTATTCTGGAGGAGGTGGGACAAACCTGGCAGTTCATGGTGCATTGCAAATAGAATTTGATTTATGCATGCCTCTCTTCATTCCAAATGATTATTGATTACATAAATAAGTAGGTAATTCTTCTCTTTCAGAACTTTGCAGAAAACACTATGAATGAGCTCCTTGGCTGGTATGGTTATGATAAGGTTGAATTGAAAGATGGAGAAGATATCGAATTCAGGAACTACTCTGCAGATGGGGAGAGTCGGCAGCACATTTCTGTTCTCAAAGGTAATGACATTTAATGTTCCTTTGTTCATGCAAAGAAGGATTAACTATCTCAACCTGCCAGAATTGGCTTGTACTAGGATTCATGTTTTGTTGCTTACTCTGAGGCTGATTTAAATATACATCTCTGACAGTGCCTTTCAGTAAGCAGAAACCAATCAAATACAAGAATGCAGCATTTAGCAAAACAACAGCTAATAGGCACTTACTAACATATCTCCAACAGTAACATTTTTTGAGCCAGATGAAACTCATGTGCCCAAGATTCCAAGGAGCTGCCAAAAAAAGGGAAAAAAGAGCAAGAGAAAGAGAGAATGTTTTCTTAGCAGACAGGGCCTAATGAACCTTTCTGCTGACAAAACTGGTGGGCTGGGGTTTTTGATAAGGTCAGATATGGAACTAGAACATTCAGAATGTATGTAAGAACCATGAATAGTATTACAAATGTGTACTTACTAATGTTTTTAATATATTATTTTCTGCAAGTGCTTTAGAAAGGTTTAGTGGGAGGCTTGTCTGGGGTCAACATTTCTGGACCTTCGTGTACTGTGTATGAAACTGTTCAAAATCTAAACAATGGGATTCAGTTTTTTTGTTCAGCAGTTCAGTTGCTACCTTTTGACTCTTCAGCCACACCAGATGGATAGGGAATTGCAATCAGAATGAAAAGAAGAACATTCCTTCAGAGTAAAAGAGTAGAAAATTGCTGGATCTTGACTTATCCAACAAGAGTTTCTCAAAGCTGAGGTAAAAGAGAGGAAATTACAGAAGCTTTACACTGTTGAACTGCCACCTTTTGCTGCATATATGATCAGCAGGGTTTGGAGGCATGCAGCACTGTATTCAATGGGTGTTGATATGAGTACTGGCACCAAAGAGCCCAATAGTGGAGAACAGGGAGCTAGATAAAAGGTGGAAAACGTAGAGGTAAGAAAAAAATAAACTATTAATGCAGAAATTCAGTGTTTGCTATCATTAGCTGTATAATATTATTGGCAGCATAATCAGTATTTGTATTCCACTTAACATATGCCATCTATAAGATAACTTGTTTCTATACTCCAGAGCAGGGCTGTCTAACTTCCAGGCAACTGGGGGCTACAGACCCAGTAGTTGCATGCCATAGGGACTCCATGGTACAGGGGCCACAGATCTGGGGTCTGCATGCTGTGTAGCACCCACTCCCGCTCCCTACTGCTTGGGCTGCCCAGTGCCCCATTGCTACACACACAACAGGCAGGCAGCCTGGATCTCCCCTCTTCCAGCCACGCATGCTACACTGGCAGTCCCCACCCCCACTGCACAAGGCAGCTTGGCTCCCACTTCCAGCATGCACAACAGAACCTCACCTCTCCCCCTGCAAGCCAGCTGAGCACATAACCCCTTGCTGTGCAGGCTGCTGAGCTCCCTTCTTTGCTGCATACCCTAGCTTCATTATTCCAGCATTCTCCTGGCCATCAGGGCAGAAGCCCAGAGGCTGCATGCTAACCCTTCAGGGGCTGCATGTGACCCATATCACCAGTTGGACAGTTTAATTCCAGACCTTTTTATTTCCTTGTATTTTAATAAAATAGACCTACCATGGGATGCTTTGTGGCTGCAATCTAGGTGGAATAAAATTTGTGACATATTTTACAGGCGTATTCTAAAAATATTTCACACATTTTTAAACAAGATAAGATCATCTGTATCATTATAAACACATGATAGAAGTCATATGTTTTATGCTACAAACAAAGATGCCAAATACCTGTGCCAGGTAGATGTCTTTGGCTTACAGAATCTTTAGGGGGGAAAAAAGTACTTTCCTGTCTTTGTGATACATTATAATCATAATCATATTATTTTAACCCTATCCCTTAATTAGGGGAAGCATACCAAATAAATGCCTATAAATAAGAAACCTGTGGTGGTCTAATGAATTGAAGCTACAGCAGACAATATTTAATACATATTTTGCTAAAATTTTAGTAATTTTTTGCTCTTTTTTCTTCCTTCTCCATTATTACTAGCTTCCAAATTATTGGAGTGGAATCGGAGATTCTTTTATTTATCCATCTATTTCTTTTGCATGATTCATCCAGTGACATCACATCAACAATACGAGACGTCAGAATTCATTGTCATAAAAATACCGTAACTGGTATCAAAGACAGGAGTGTGAGATCACTGAATAAATCAGACATACTGAGAATATGCATCAGAAAGTAAGCCTGCTTAAAAAGTATAGTGCAGTTTAATGCTGTTATTGATAAAATATGAACATTTTTAAAGTTTGTTAGAATGTAGCAGAGGCAGAATATTGTCATTTTATCTTCCATTCTTCTTGTTTTAGAAGAAGTAATTTTATGATCAGACTGGGAAAAATATATAGGGGCATCTAAGAAACACCTTTGCCATACTTTATGGTTTGTTCTTTTTCTCTTACAGAAAATTCTTTGCCAAAACCAAAATTACCTGAGGACAGTGTTATTTCACCGTACAATATAAACACAAGCTATCCAGGGCTTGCTACAGGAAATGGACTTTCAGACTCACCAGCAGGGTCAAAGGATCATGGGAGTGTACCCATTATTGTACCATTAATTCCACCACCTTTCATAAAGCCACCAGCAGGTAAATCATAACAAACATTTCAAAAGAAGTATAAGAGATAGCTATTATCACCTTACTAGATTATGTAAAAAGGTTTAATTTAAAAATATGTAAGAGGATGTCACAGTAATCCTATTTGGGTGTTGAGGTAGGAAGAAGACAAGTGATGTTTTGAAAATATTCTGGTAATGCTCTTGTCAGTGTTTGACAACAGGCAAAGTACTGTACATAGGTCTACTGCTTGCAACATTCTGGATGCTGAATTATATTGCCTCAGCCATTCAACATCTGTTTTAAAAAAATGATTTTCTTTTATGAATAAAGTCCTTAAGTATATTAATGGAAGATTATTAGATTAAAAACAGGGTCCACAAAGCAAACAGCTAAACAAATGAAACAGTCAAATCAATATCACATGTCTTTATATCAGCTTAACAAGCTCATTCTGGGAAAACTGTCCTTTAGTTCTTATTGAAATAACTGACCATTGTCCCTTGAGGTTTTATATGATCTAAAAACTACCCCAGGAGACAGTGCTGAAAGGTTTTACATTTTCATGAAATTTTTATCAGGAGTAATTTTTCTGACATGGTATTTTCAGACGTAGTTTGTGAAATGATTTATTCCACATTGCATGCTGTTTACCATAATTTGCTAAAGTAACTGTTATGGCTACACTAGGGTGTTTAATTGCTATGTTATTATTTACCGTTGTACAAACTGCAGTAATTGGTGAATTTATGTAGCAAACAGGCACAATCCTGCTGCTGCTGCTAAAGTCACTGGGAGTGTTCCAGACTTAGTTAGGGGCAGAACTGGACCTCATACAAACTATAACATGCATTAAAGAATGTCAGCCTAATTTTGTTAGAGAGTTTAAGAACAGGGTGATGTATTTCACTGTTGAAGCCTCTGCTGAGGCTGAAAGATCCCTGCACCCACATGTAGCCTCACTTACTTCAGAGAGAACAGTGAGCAGGATCAGACCCATTTGTGGAATGGCCTTTTCCACTCTGCTTTACATTTATGAGTTAAATTTAAGCTTCATATTGGTCCAGTATGTAGTTTGTTGTTAACATTTAGTATGACAGAAAGCTTACATTTGGCCTCCTGAATAATTTGCATGATAGTATATTTTAGTATTAGATAAGTGTTTTAATGCATCATAATTTTTTTCAAATGTTACCAAATTTAGTTTATTTTCTCCAAATATTTTTCCTATATTTGGTACCATATTTACTAATTTCCATAGCTATTTGAGTCTTCCTTCCCCCCCCTCTCCCCCAGTTTTTGCATAGCCAAAGATTTCAAACCATAGGAGTGGGATTCTCAGCTGGTGTTAATCTGGCCCTGGAGCTTTAATCAAGGGCTTGTATTTTCCCAAGATGCTTTCTCCTTCAATCTGAGTCACAAATGAAATCATAATGCTGAATTTGTGGCATACAAACACAGGACTACAACATGAACTGTACAGGCAGCAACATTTGCTGATTATAAATAATACCAACAAAGAGAAGATAGACAATGAAATAGAAAAACAAGTTATTCCAACAGTGGCAAAGGGCTCACAGAGAACACCAGCCAAGTACATCTCTTTCTCCTTTCCCCCTTCCATCTCTTGTGTGAATTACAGCAATAGAATCTGCCAAAATGGTTTCCTATAAAGAAGGTCTGAAAGTAGAAGTATTTTCTTAAATTTTTTTTTATTTTATTAACATGGAAATAATATTATTAATATTAATTGTATTACTATAGCACTTATGAGCCTTAGTCACTGAGCAGGACTAGTATGTACTGTGCAGACACAAAACAAAAAAAGATAGACTTCATTCTAAAGAGCTTCCAGTTAAGTATAAGAGACTTCAGATGGATAAAGACAAACAGGAAAGTACAAAGAAACAATGAGACAGTGGTCACCATGATAGGCAGTGGCTCTGGCATCCCCATATCCTACCATCTGTCAAATATTTTGGAGGTGTTTCAGCAAAGGAAAAATGTAAGGAGGGAATGCTTAGAGATAATTGGTAGTGTTGCAGGTTAGAGGTACATCAGTCTGATGTCGGATCGGCACTGATATAAAAAAAATTGACTATATTGGAAATTGTCCTGATGTGGTTGATAATTTATCTGATAAATGCCTGCAAGTGTGCACAGCCACAGTGCAGCACAGAGGCAGCAAGGAACACAGCCTGGCAGCTTGGAGAGCTGCGTGCAGCTGGTAAGTCTGTTGTGGTGGATGGAGGGGGGCATGAGGGGACAGATAAATGCCCCCACAGTGATGGAGGGAGTGGGGCTGGGGCTGTGGTAAGCACTGCCTAGACGGGGTGGGACGGAGCTGCGGTTCATCTGGGGGGCATGAGGAGGGGGAGCGGCTCCCACAGCTGTGTGTATCCCGGGAGGATATGGCCGGGGGGCATGTGCCTCTGGATCTGCATGGGGTGAACTGCAGCTGTGGGTTGGGGGCTGTGCTGGGTTCTTCCTGCTGGGAGGGGCTGGGCCGCACTGTGCTCAGGGCAGGTGGTGGTAATGCTGGGAGGGGAGCCCATAGCCCCAGCCTGCAGCTGCAGCCCACCCTGCCCTGTCCCGCTCAGATCTGGGGGCATACGCAGCCCCATACCCTCCTGGGGTACACGCGGCAGCGGGAGACTCTCCCCCATGCCGCCCAGATGAGCTGCAGCTCCATCCCACACCCCACCCCACCCCACCCTGCCTGGCCTGCCCCAGCCTCACTCCCTCCCTCACCACAGGGGGCATTGATTAGCTCCCCCTGTGCCCCTTTCCTTCCCCCTCCCCTTCCACCACAACAGGAAATTGGAACATGGAAATTGGAAATCAGATCGGTGTTGCTCATTATGCCTTCTTAAAAATTGGCTGTCGGTATTGGCCCTTAAAATCTCTATCAGTGCATCCCTATTGCAGATCTTTACAGGGAGCTTCTCCCAAGCATGAAGGGCAGTATGGAAGAAAGCTTGAAGGTCTTTGTTTAAAAATTGAACAAGTGAACTACAGTTGATCTTGCTGTGGATGGACTGTATGACTTCCTGAGGTCTTTCATCTCAATTTTCCTTGATTCTACGATTTGGTGAAGGAAGCTAGCATCGCTGGTCATTTAAGACAGCAGTTGACATTTAGATAGTGAATAAGAGATAATAGATATGGGAGGAACAGGTTATGAATGGCCTTATGGGTGAAAACAAGCATTTTATATTTGATGTGATAAAGAAGGAGGCGGCAGTGGAGGAATGCCAAAGAGATGGTTGACATAGTCAAAAAGACAGACTAGGGAAATGACCTTTGCAACTGCATTCTGAATGAACATGATTGCATTTTTGAAGGCTATAGAAAAGGATGTCATAGGAAGAATACTGAAGTAATTAAGACATGAGATGATAACTGGGACAAGAGTTTAATCTGTGGAAATGCATAGGAGATGTTGTGCAGAAAGAATCTGCAATAGTTAGGTCTAGCCTGGATGCAAGGACCTATGCTGGGTACTGAGATGAAAATGTTGGCCAAGTTACAGGCCTGAGTGTGGGTAATTTTCACAATAGCTGAGGAAAGTATGGGAGGATATTTCTGGGGAAATAAATTGGAAGTTCAGTTTTAGCCATGTTGAGTTTGAGCTGAAGACTAGACATCCAAAAGGAAATCTCTGAGAAAACAGGTGTAAGTTCTAGTTTGGACAGAGAGGAGTAGAGGAGTGTGGAGTAGAGAAGTATATCAGTGGGTTCTCAATAAACAAATGGCAGTCTTTTGGTAGATGAGATTACCTAAATATCAGGCATGTAGAGGGAGAAGAGAAGGGGACCAAGACAAGGCACTCTGGAACCCCACAGAAAGTTGGAGAAGGATGAATCAAAGCCTCTGAAGTATATGAAGAAGCAACTGGAGAGACAGAAGGAGAACTGGGAGAGGACAGACTTACAGAAGCTAAGGAAAGGTAACATTTCAAAACTATGACTATGGTTGATAGTGCCAAGAAGGATGAAGGTGGATTCTAGACTTCATTGGGAAGTAGTCATTAGAGAGTTTCACAAGGCAGATTAGTTGGTTCTTCTGGAGAATTTTTGGAGTGTCTGAGGAATGCACTGTGAACACTTACACTTCAAGGGAATAGGGTGGAGTAGTGAAAATTTAACAAATATACCCTTCCTCCCAAGTGCTCGTGCCTACTGCACAATTCCTCCTGAGGTAACCTGAGAAAGCATATGGGTCTTATGCTGTTCACTGATGGTCCACGGACTCTGGCTGCTGTAGCTCAGTGGGGGAGATCAATTCCAGTGATGAGGAAGTGTACCTTGTGTGTATGTGTCTGCCATTGCTCAGGTAGGAAAGAAAGACTCATCCAGCACCCAAATCATATAGTGTTTTGTAGATCAACATCAGTCTGGAAGCAAATAGCAAGTGAGTTTAGTTTTCATAGAATTAGTATACTATGGTATTTTTGACAAATGCCACACCCAGTAGGCAGGCAGCTGCTTTTTTTTGCCAGCTGCAGCTTCTAACAGTCTTCAGGGTTAGCCTTGAGCATAGCACATTGCAGCAACGTAACACAAACAATCAGATTAGTTCTACCTAGCATAAGAAAAATCTGGTGTTCCATGAAGCAAAGCAAAAGGGAAAGAGAATTTATTTCTCATAATAAATGTTGTCATAAAAAGGCATAAAAATATAGCAACCTGATATAGTATAGGAATAGGAGAGAATAATATTCATATAGGATATATTATCCTAGTATTAAACATATTAAAATACTAACTTGTATTCTGCACCCTCAGTGACAGAATTGTACTTATAGTAATTTGGTAGGAGTAAACATATGAGTAAGAGCAATAGAATCAGGCCTTTACAGGCAGGAGACGATGCATTTTCTTCCCACTGCTTCCATGCTTGCTGAGATTTCAGTGTCTCGGGTACCCTGATCATTCTAATGGTTATCTTTGGTTGGCTTTCTCTTTATTGTGGTATATGAGGAGAGTAGAAAGACTGCCACTCTTCCTGGCCCTTGCACAGGGGTGCAG